TAATGTTTCTGTTGATGGATGTGCATTCTGGCTTCCCAGTACATTACAACAACAGCGATGGAAAAAAAAAACGTGGACAAACCATTCACTCTTGTTCAATGCGAATGGCGTATGCTGGAATATGAGCATTTATTCCGTCATCACCCGGGTGCTGAGGTGCGCGCGCACAGGTGAGACCTGAACAGCACACGTTGGCTGTGTCTGAAATCATCCCCTATACCCTTAATTAGGGCACTATTTGAGGGAACAGCCATTTTTAGTGGTGTCCGAAACCATAGTGGACGTTCTCGAGTGCACTCATTCAATCCCACAATGCACTGCAAAAACGAGTGTACAACTGGTGCACGCTCAACGGCTAGAGAATGCCCATAATGCACCGTGAGAGTCACGCGCCGAATGAATTCCCGCATCTTGCCAGAAGATGGCGCCCGCAGCTGAATCATCAATCCGTTCATTTTTACAAAGCGCTCATCCATGGCGTATAGCATAATGTACAACACGGGTTTAAATTCATTGTAAATTGATTATTCAATTGTTTGATTAGGGTTTATACATCATTTCCGTGACAGAGTACAAGATAAACCCTTTAATCTTACTACTGGAGCTGCTAGTTTGCTAGTTTCAAATGATTAATAAACAGCAAGCACAAACTATGCAAAAGCGCCATTCCTTCCGGTGCACTCAGTGTCCGAATTCACTATTCGTTTTCATTCACTCCTTCTAGTGAACTGAATTAGTGACCTAATGTAGGGAATAGTGAATGAGGGTATAGGGGGCGATTTTGGACACAGCTGTTGATATCTGTGTTTAAGCTAAGCTCTTCTTCTTATGATGTTTAATGGCGGTTGGCAAACCAGCTTTTGGTGCATATTCCGCCACCTACTGGGATGGAGTGTGAGGCAATGATATCAAGGGAAATGCTAATTCACAAAAAAAAATAATAATAATTTGTTAATTTTTTAAATAAATAAATAAACAAAAACCTTCTACCTATATTTTATTATATAAATTTGTTATTTTCAGAAAATTAATAAGAGCTTTATAACCTTTATGAGAACTATTTTTAAGCTAAGCTCATTTAAGCTTTGCCAGTTTAAATATTAAAGAGCCAGAGGACACGAGCTCGCCGCGCGCAGTGAGAAGATTTGTGCGTGCGCTCATCCGAAGCACGCAAACCCACGCCTCAGAACGCGCGCAAATCAGTGCATTCTCTTAAAGTGACAGCACTTTCTTAATATTAATCACACAGCAACAACACGGAAATCACTCACTGCTCTTGATTGAATAGCTTTTGTAACTTTAATAAAGATTTATCTTTAATTTATACAGTCGAATATGCAATGCTGTTTTACATTTCATTACTTTATTCAATTTTTAATGAAAGGAGTTTCTTATGCTCATCAAGGCTGCATTTATTTGATCAATAATACAGGAAAAAATTTGATATTGTGAAATATTATTACGATGTGAAATAAGAGTTTCTATTTTAATCTACATTCAAATGTAATTTATTGCTGTGATCAAAGCTGAATTTTCAGCATCATTACTCCAGTCTTCAGT